CTTAACATAAAGGGTTATCAACTTCTACTGAACCGTAACGGAAAAGACGTAGTTTGATTAAAATATTCTTTGACAAAATGTTACGATGCCATGTTACCATAAGATTGCAATAAAAATGTATGATTTACATGTATCATGTCAATGAGAAGACGAGGCTCCTTAAATATTTTGATTCTCTGTTTTGTCAAGTCCTCGCTGAGACACAACGTTTATTTCCGTAATTTTCAGTTTTTCATGACCTTCTCAGTAATTCTCCCCCAGTAACAAATGTCACGAGTATCCGTCTCTCTCCTTTCCAACTCGATGACATCTGCCGATTAATTGATAATCCAGTGGACCTTTTTCATCAACGACAGTTTCAACACGGGCCTTTAAAACAACACTTTGTCTGATTGTATTGTAGCTGCCTTGCTCGACATATTTCTCGAACGTTCTTGGCTCACACTAAATATATCCTGCAGTAATAGTGCAACGATATCTTTGCCAATTTCACAGATAATGTTCTTCAGCAACAAGCATGAAGTATTTTTCAGCCAGATAATTGGTTATCATCATTGAAAAAGTCACATAGAGCTGATGCGGTTGTTCTTTGGTATCCGGTGTAGCTGATGTTGTGCCTTCATGACGTATATGGTGATGAGGGTGCTCGGTGCTCGGAGGGCCATGGCGACCCTCGAAAATAACTACATTCTGGCTTTGTACTTTCCTGCAAGAGAGTCCTGGATTTTCTGTTTTCTTTGTGTTGAAGACGTGGATTAGTCAACTCTCTGGTTTCATCTGAGTGGCATTTTGTTTTCTGCAGTTGCATATATACTCATCAAAGCAAATGAAGCGCCACCAAATGTTTAAAAGATTATTCACATTTGGAAACACATTATAAAACGACGATAGCTTCATAGAAAACAGTAGAATTGAATAATGATTTCAATCAGTTGACAACAAATATGTCTTTGATGACGTCACGTATAATGTGTCACGCGGTATTCGAAAACCATACCTGTGTTCAGTGAAATGAAGGCCGAGAAAGGTTGACCACCAGCGTAAAATATTTGTATGAATAATGACATGCCATTTTCCAGAAAGATACCTAGCCATGCCAAGATGTCAAAGAAGAATAAATCCATAAGACGTGTAATATAAGTTTGCATTGACCACTGCTTGTACCGAACGCCGCATGTTATGAATTAACCTCTGAATTTCTTTGTGGTGGCACCAAGGCCTATTCCAGCTTCAAGTTCTGCTACAGTTTGAACTGGTGGACAAGTTCCAGAGTGCTTGATTCCTGCACCGCGTCAGCCTTTCACGGATATGTCTTTCAGCCAACTGGGTACGTTTAAGAGGCATACGACCAAGATATTTTGTACCCATCTGGACGGTGTCATCTGTTGGTATTCCACTGATTCCTCAGTACAGGTGAAGCGGTCAAGGGTTCGCGTCCTACAAGTCTAAGCAGTTTTCGATATTCACGGACAGATGTTCCCTTACATCTTCCAAGGTACGAGTTTGAGCATGTTTGTACTTATCACCTGAGTTTGGTGATACCCAGGGTGTCTTGCAGTAACCCTGCATGACATCCCGCCTTCTATATTTCATTTTGTATCCGTGTCCGCCTGTGGGCATTCTACACTTTGTCCCCTGTTGTTCACATCACAGACAGTGGAAACACGACTAACAAAAGCTGTTCATTCAGCGTTCTCGTGTATTTGCAAACATATCCATACCCGAGTGGAACATGGCTTACATTCGTGTAACTCATGCTGCTGTTTTTACAGTTACATATGTGACATAACTGATGACAAATATATCCATGTTTGCACATCACGTTTTCAGGTGAAAGAGGAGTGTCAGCAGGAGTGCCACACAATACAATTCATATAATTTACACGCAAACTGAATGTATTTAAAGATACCTGTGACACGCCAATAGAAGCGGGGTGGTGTACGAATTCAGGCTAGGCAGCAGGCGCACTGAAGACACCAGAGTATTGTTTGGAATGTCAACCAAATATAACGCCCAGACGTCCAGGCGTCAGCGGCAAGTTCTGGTCCTGTCGTAGGCGTCAATCCGTCTCATCCCTATCTTTTACTGCCTCATGAAGTCTGTGTTGCAACATATGGGTGGACATTATCCTTTTGCGTGTGACGTTGTACTTGCATTTGCACAAAGGGTAAAATATGATCTCGAACAATGTCGCCCCGGTATGGCACAGCCATTTAAATTGCCATTAACTATGATGAGTTTTGTTCTTCCATGAGGCATGGTGCCACGCTCATACCGTTAGACTTCCACTCCCAAACTGACAACTTTGAGTAATGCCAGTGTCGCTAATGCGTTCTCCTTCCGCCTTCAGACCATTGTATGACCATCAGATCTGTCCAGTTGAAAGGTGGACTCTTCTGTGGACAGTAGACTGTCCAAATCTTGTCTACTGAACCTCACATGGTAGGCGTGCGTGACAGTGATGTGGAAGCGAAACTGGAAGTAGTCTCGATGGACAGATGGGCCGGTGGTTGTGCTCCACAACCAGTCGCGTACGGTTCAGTCAGTAATTGGTCTAACATTGTCGCAGTTGGGTTCCGTAGATGCATCAACCGTAAATGGTTGTCTGGTGAACATGACATAAGAACCTTGTACCTGCCTATGCACAAACGCTTAATCAGTAGAGAGAGTAGCATAGACGTCAGATATTTCATTTGGCGGTCACCGATAGCATCTACTGAAATTAGCATCATAGTCAAGTCTGATGTAAACACTGTTGCAAGCGTTACACCTGTCTGTACACGTAAAAGCTGTCGAAAATATTTCAGGGTCATTTTACCAGATGTTCCAAAAGATATCTACCTCTCGTTTCGTCGTCATACTTCGCACATTTGACACTAAGCTCACAATGACCCTGGCAAGCTTGCCAAGAGCTGATGCTAGCTGACAACGACCATGATGATGTGTTCATCCAGTTTATCGCGAAGGTTGCGTCCGGCCTTATTTTCTCTTGTTTAATGTTCATTAATGTTCATTTAATGTTTCCCTGTGGCAGTGAAACGTTGAGTGAACTTAGAGCCAGGGACATTAGCTGTACGTCCGTATCAATAACAGTAATGTCAACAACACGTGTTGCTCTTAGGTACTCTTCAGAACAATTTAGGGAAGAATTAAGTTTTTAACTTACTGACTTCGTATTTGTAACACATGTAATGTTAATAGTAACCCACTGTGCAGCTGTTCAGCTTCATCTACGTTCACCAATCACCCTGAACCACATATACACGTTCATTCAGCGAAATACATCATCATCTGCATCACCATATTTACGAATAGTTTTGGGGTGTTATTCTTCAAAACTAAAAGGCTTTAAAATTTTACAATCGTTGTCAAAATCAACACGTGGGTTACCAGATACCTATCATCGCAGGTTCGAAACCTCCATTCGCCCTCATCATTACTTCGGGTCTTTCTCCCAAATTTAGACACGCCGTTACATAATTCATAATTGAAATGGTTTCCAAACAGTGTGAACACCAAACACAGTCGGTATAAACTATATTTTTGTCTGCTACTCGCCGAAAGATAACACCGCTTGGAAGTGTACATCTATTCAGTAAGTACAATTATTATCTTGGTGTCACATTTCATAGTATCTCCACGGCGAAGCTAATTAGGATATACTACCAGAGCCAGACAACGGAAGCAATGCTATTTCAGCATGAGCATGTTATGTACATAAGTTCCTTGTCTTGTGTTCCATATTTCTGAGATAAGATACTCGGTAACTTAATTTTCATATTGAATGAGGCTAACGTAGTACAAACTAGATTATTGTGCGATCGTGTGACCTCATTTCGCCGCAATTACAAGTACAAGACGAGGAGCTATTGTGTAGGCAATCAACCAGCTCAGCTTCAGACGTTCCCCTTGAGTATTCTGGGAGTAGGTTAATGTACTGGAACCGCAAAACGTGAAAGCCTGGTGACTCAGCACTGTACTCTAACCAATACGTCTGATTTGTATATTTAGCGCCTGCTACCTCACTTAACTAATGATAGCTTTTCATTGTTAGCTTTGCAGGCCTTGTACGCTCTAAGTCAACTAACTGACCAACTATCAACCAATTAACCAACCAACCATCCAACTAACTAACTTACCAAATACCAATCCAACCATCCAATCAACTAACCAACCAACCATGAAATTAACTTACCAAATAACCATCCAATCAACTAACCAACCAATTAACCAACCAACCATCCAACTAACTAACTTACCAAATAACCATCCAATTATCCATTGAAGTAACCAACCAACCAACTAACCAACCAATTAACAAAAGAACTATCCAACTAACTTACCAAATAACGATCCAACCAGCCAGCCATCTAACCATCCAATCAACCAACCAACCAGCCAACCATCCAATCAACCAATCAACCAACCAACCAACATCCAATCAACCAACCAAATAACCATCCAATAAACAAACTAACTAACCAGCTAAAAACGAACCAAAGAACCAACCATCCAACCATCAAACCAAACAACCAACCAACCATCCATCCACCCATCCAACCAACCATCCATACAACCATCTAAACAACCAACCAACCAACTAGCCTACCTCAATAGAACACCGACATATACATGATATAGTGAGTGAAACATGGATTTGGCAACGCTCAGCCACAAAACGAACATGACAAGTTATATATAAAATATATAAAGTTAATGCACCTTACATTGTATCCATTAAATACGGTAAAGCGCACGTGTAAAAATATTCAGCATCTGTATATTCTATACCATCTTTTACTGTTGTCACCACATAAATATATTCGGTAAAAACAAACCAGGAGTAGGGTTCAAAAGATTCAGTGTAGAATAGTGTTAAGTCGAACTTATGTACCGGTATCTATGTTGTGAATAAGAAATCACCTTCAAATCAAAATGAAGACGAAATGACCTGTCAATAGAAACAAGTACACCACTACACAGATTTAGAAACACTTACTTTCAACTTTGACACACATATACGGTATGCCGTGTGAGAATGATGGTCGGTGCCTGTGTCTACTTCACGTGTAGTTCCTGCTCTGCGTCTACCATAGCGTATATATATAAACCCGCCAGCTTATCTGCCGCTGCCACTCTTGGAAACTTGAAACTTGAACATCCCACCAGACAGAAGTGGAGCTTTTTGAGTATCAGTCAAAGACACACAAATCTACAAAACCATGGAAATAACAACATCCTTATTTTGTAAACATATTGCTATCATCATTCCAGATACGATGACATGTGTCAACCAAGTCAGCGAGCCTGACCACCTGATCCCGTTAGCTGCCTCTTACGACAAGCATGGGTTACTGAAGATCAATTCTAACCCAGATCTTCACGGATATTATGACAGGCGCGTAGCAAGCCAATTTTTTCGTGTAAGCCCGATAGGGTACAAAGGTATATATTTAGATAGGATTGAGGGCTTGCCCAACCTTTTTAGCAACAATCATGTGTAAGCCCGGGCTATTTTTATAATGGTAGCTACGGCCCTGTATGAGTTTAGCAAGGATTCCACACGTAGAAATAGTCTATTGACTAAGTGAAAAAACCCCGTTGTGTTATCACTTGAATACTGTAATGAGGATGTGTTTTTGTTAATTATGTCACATTAGTTCACTATTGACCATTATGTCACATTAGTTCACTATTGACCATTATGTCACATTAGTTCACTATTGACTATTATGTCACATTAGTTCACTACTATTGGTTCACTATTGGCTATTATGTCACATTAGTTCACTATTGGCGATTATGTCACATTAGTTCACTATTGGCTATTATGTCACATTAGTTCACTATTGGCTATTATGTCACATTAGTTCACTATTGGCTATTATGTCACATTAGTTCAATATTATGTCACATTATATTCACTATTATTTCACTATTGGCTATTATGTCACATTAGTTCACTATTACCATTATGTCACATTAGTTCACTATTGACTATTATGTCACAGTTCACTATTGACTTTTATGTCACATTAGTTCAATATTGGCTATTATGTCACATTAGTTCACTATTGACTATTATGTCACATTAGTTCACTATTGGCTATTATGTCACATTAGTTCACTATTGGCTATTATGTCACATTAGTTCACTATTGGCTATTATGTCACATTAGTTCACTATTGGCTATTATGTCACATTAGTTCACTATTGATCATTATGTCACATTAGTTCACTATTGGCTATTATGTCACATTAGTTCACTATTGGCTATTATGTCACATTAGTTCACTATTGGCTATTATGTCACATTAGTTCACTATTGGCTATTATGTCACATTAGTTCACTATTGGCTATTATGTCACATTAGTTCACTATTGGCTATTATGTCACATTAGTTCACTATTGACTATTATGTCACATTAGTTCACTATTGACTATTATGTCACATTAGTTCACTATTGGCTATTATGGGTTGCAAAACTTGGATGCGCTGAGTGTGGATTTGAAATCGCATCTTTGAACTTAGGCTATGTAATTTCACCTGATTTTTTCCAATTCAAATTTAACATGTGAAAGGAATGTTGAAAGTTTCCAACCATTTTCTCAAACATAGTACTGTTTAGATGCGGATGAGCGAAAACTAATTTATCGTTTTAAGGCCCTGTTATTATGTCCGATAGACGTCAGCGAGAGGCGGGTCATTGTCGTACTCAATGAATATATCAGGTTAAAACATACACTTTTCCACATTTTTATGAACACCCGTTTCTTTAATGAATCTGTCATGGCTGGTGGGTATTGCAGCAAACCCACTACCAACTGCGGCGGCATACGATGACGATACACGACCAAAATGATATCAAATGAATGTTTGCATGTATAACGTTATACATAAGCTTACAAATCCATTTCATATATACGAATGTCGTTCAGATATCAGCAGTATTTTGTGCGCTCACACTTTCTGTAAAGATGCCAAATGGAAAAACGTCGAACGGTGCTACAGCTCGTTCTCAAGTTGGAATTTCGAAAGGAGCTAGGGATGGGATAAGGGCAGTTTGTTTGTTGCTGTTAATCCAACAATGACATCACATAGATTAGATTTTGGTGTAAATAATTACTTTGTATGACTATTTAACACATTTGAAAAGTTTATGATCAGTAGACCTCCTTTTACATAGAAAACACCAATAGCCACATATGTTGTACAATGCCATGACCAATATGGGAGATTCCGTTCTGAAACCAGTGTGCGAAATAACCACTGGCCCGCTAGCCCGTGCCTAGTAAATATCCAGTCGGGCCAGTAAATCTCCACAGCCACTGGCCCCACTGGCTAGTGAATTTTCACGGGGTCATTTTGTAAAGGAAGGAAACGGTTCGGCGTAGGTGCTAACACATGCTTGATACCTGTGTTAGTACCTACACCGAAACGTCGCAAGCATTGCAATATAGAAGTTGACTATCCATAGAACTTGGTTATCATTCGTAGTTTAGGCGTGTGCACTTACGTGCACAGAGGTATGTAAAACGGATATATGGAAAATGTTAAAATGGTTTTGTGAGCAGAGTGATGCTTCGTGATTACTGTGTCTGTATGATAATGGCCACAAAGGAATAGATTTACATAATATGAAACTACACAGAGCTGCTGCTATATTGGCGTGACACACCCTTTTATCTGTAGTCCTGGCATGTATGGAGATACGAGTATTGTATTTTAAATCCAACCATAGCAACTGTCAAAGTTTCAAATCGGGTTTATATATGTCAATGAGTTATATAATGTAACGTGTTGATTTCCTAGCTGAAAAGTTAACCCACAAATCTGAAATCAAAATAAAGCTGTTTGAAACCATGAAATACCACAAAAATACAATTGCTAATTGTAAAAGTTACAAATTACTGCAATAAAGTAATTGAGTTGCAGTATATAGTTCAGTGGCGTTACAGACTCAATGGCATTCTTCTAAACTTAGGCATATGAATGATATCCAGGATATAAATATTGACACAACCGTTGGTTTTGATGTAGAATACTATTTCGGTATACGTGTTTATTCGTTTCTTTTTTGGGGGGACAGTATTTATTCCGACAACCGTTGGTTTTGATGGGAGATGGGAGAGGAATTGCTTGCCCTCTTATATACAATATAGTCCAAATACCTGCTTGAGTAGCTATGTCAGACAATGCCGGATTACAGGTGAGTCCAAAAGCATCATAAAATACATATCGCAATGAAAAGTATACATGTATAAAATGTAACGAGCCACCCTATACAGGGTTATGAGAGACTTTCCATAAAAGAGCATATTAAAATACAGATAAACATATTGCATAAACAATAACACGTATCAAAAAGACAATCATGAATTAAGAGTATAGGAAATTATATCTTTTAGACAATATGTTAAAGCAGGCTTTGGTATTTAAATATATCACAGTTTGGGTAGACAGGATAAAACTGACTTTCACAGGATCATCAAATTTCTTCTGCTTCGCAGCATTTTCTCCATAATTCTCCTCTTTAGGTTTCATACAGACAACATCTTAGTAGTACGTGCTCTTCGTCTTCTACACCATCAGCATACATAGGACATATTTTCTCGACCACATGTTTCTCAATCTGATGTTCAATTGCAAATAGGAACAATACCAAAATACTTAAATGTCACAAAAAACAAAGGAACTGACTTTCGGAGTAAACCCACAGAAATGCTTCCAGTGATAATGAACGGTGAATGTATTGAGACAGTGTCGGAGTATAAGTATCTGGGAACCTTCTTTGACTCTAAGCTGACCTGGAACTCTAACACTGAAGCCCCTTACAACAAGTGTCAGCAACGTCTTCATCTCATGCGTAAACTGAGATTTTTTAATGTTAACCCCTCTGTGATGTCATCATTTTTGTAGCATTTTTTCAGAATATTTTAACATTTTCCTTTCATTGTTGGTACGGGTCTGTCTCAGTTCATCTTAAATTCAAAATAGACAAAATTGTTAAGACTGCAAGTTAAATCACTGGGGTCAAATTTGAATGTTTATCATCAATATATGAGCGGCAGATCGTGAATCAAGCTGTCAAAATTATATCTGACCGTATTCACTACTTAAATTCGGAATATAAACCTCCTCCCTCCAGGCCGCCGCTACAAAGTTCCAAGTGTGAAAACTAAGAGAGCTCGCACATCCTTAATTCCAACTACCATATCTCTCTTAAACAAACGTGAAGATACTTAAATTTATGACATGACAGAATATACGTGTAATGTAGATATCTGTGTCACAATGACATGACAGAATATACGTGTAATGTAGATATCTGTGTCACAATGACATGACAGAATATACGTGTAATGTAGATATCTGTGTCACAATGACATGACAGAATATACGTGTAATGTAGATATCTGTGTAAAAATGACATGACTTATGGCTGTAATGTCACAAATTTGGTAATACTCAGCAATAATCAGACCAGGGCCCCGTTTCACAAAGCTCTTGTAGCGCTACGACTATCGTAAGGCAATGCTACAGTATAGGAAGTACGAATGCTACGAGAAAAGTTACGAGAGCTTTGTGAAACGGGGCCCAGGGATCAATCCTCCTTTCAAATCCCAATATTCGGAAAAGAACATGATTGCCGATCGGTGGCTGTATGCCATTGTCACATTTGGGAGGCATCTGGTAGACACCTCGTGTTGTACCGTTGAATATTTATTTAGCATGTTAAAACGTTGCCGTTACGTCACTTTTCGTTCATAATTTATCTGCAATTTATAATTCTAGTATTTTCAAGAATATTCTGCTACCTGTTGGGGAAACCCCAAGTGCAGTTTGTGAAAAGGAGACCCAAATCGATTGTTATTCCAACATTATTTTAAGTACTTTTTTTACCTTTACATTTCAACCCAAAAGAAGCTCAAATCTTTCGTGCGAATCGTTTCCAAATCCGCTATATTTGATCATGGTGTGTTTTTTCTACTCTGTATGTGCTATCATTTTCAACAATACGAGTACTATATTTCAAATACACTCATAGCAAAGTTTCAAGTCTGGTTTATGTATGTTAATGAGCTGGATGATGTAACGTGTTGATTTCAAAGCTGAAAAGTTAATACATACATATAAA